AATAATCACTTATTCATGTCTCTAACTACGTTGCTTGCTGTTTTATATCTTAGGGTTAGGGTCAGGGTTAGGGCTAATTCTAATTTATATTCTATGTTCTTGAAAGGGGCGTAAGATGCGCATGCGCATACGATGAAAAAAACGTCCAAAACGCACGAAATTACGGTGCATAACTTTTCGTACGATTTCATACGAACTCATAATGAGAATACACTGATACTGTAGGAGGAATACTTGTTCACATTTGAAAAACGTTTCACTTTATGGGACATAACTCCACACTAGCATAAACTTGCAGCTATGAATGAAGACATATACATACATTATACATGTATGGCGCTGTGGCCTCAGCAGACTCTCATACCTCCCTCTCCACATTATAAAGATCCATATATTTATTTGTATTTGACACTATTAGGAATCAAAAACTTAAAGCATCCAAATAGTATTTAAACATTAGCAACATTTTCTATGTGTAATTTTTGTTAAACATGATAAATACATCTGAATAACTTTACAGATTGGTGTCAGTGTTTACTTTTGAACCTCTTTTTTTTTATTTTTGTACCATTTTTGATTTTATTTTATTTTTTTATAATGTGCATTCAAAGTACATCATAGGGATGTTTACATAAAAAAACAAACTATAAGAATACACAATAAAACATACATACAAATACTTTGGTTTTTTGACAAATAAATCAAAGAGGTATTACACAAAGTAAAATCTATTGATTATGTGGTGCAAATGTGAGCAATATACAATCTCATGGTCAAAATTTGAACAAACATGGAATACAAGATCAAACTGCATGAATATATGTGGAAAATGTGTCCAACATGTGAACACAAGTTCAATTTGTTGGATTTCTTTGTCAGCCTATGTTCATGCACCAAATGATGCTGAGGTTTCTGTTCCTCTCTCCATACAGGGAGTCTGTAAGCTTCTGGCCTTCATCCATTTATATATAATGGGCTGTAACTACTTCTGGATGCTCTGTGAGGGCATCTACCTACACACTCTGATTGTTGTGGCTGTGTTTGCAGAAAAACAGCATCTTTTGTGGTATTATCTTCTAGGATGGGGTTAGTAAAATGCAAACTCTCCCATCTAAATAAATAGCATGCTCTGATGCAAACCAAAGATATAATTTTAAATGTTTTGCAGGTTTTCCACTTGTGCCAGCTGTTATATATTCAATTGCCCGTTTTTGCTACTACAATGACAGGTGAGTTTTTCTGATCCAGAAAAAAAAAAAAATTATAAGTATATCAGGTATTTATTTAACTGACAGCCTTTGCCGTGTCTTTCCAGATGCTGGGGCAGCTCGGATACGTCCTTGCTGTATATTATCCATGCCCCCTTCTGCACTGCTTTAGTGGTAAGGGTTTCTATGTTATTCACAAATTTT